GATGTGTCCGTCTTATGGCATTTGCCGTCTGCCAGGTACGTCGTAATACCGGTCAGTTTATCGGCCGCGCAAGACTGCCCCGTCGTGTACGCTTCTACGATCAAATAGGGATTCGAGCCGAACGCAGAAGCCATATCTTCCTTGTACGACAGGGTAGAAGTACACGATGTCGCTGTGTAAGGAGCAGCTTGGCCAGTACAAGTCGTCGATGTAACGCAAGTACTTGCGTCCGACTTCACCGTCACAACTTGCGTTGGTAATCCCGACTGGCATTTGTTCGTATTTGTGTCGAACTTCAAGGTCGACGAATATACTTTTGTAGTTTTACCACTGCCGTACACTTTCGTGTCAGCGATTCCATTGCCATCCGAATTGCATGAGTTTGCGGTCTGTGCGGCGGTCACAGTCAATCGCGTCCATGGCGTACCACAAAGGTTGTCGTTGTACGACTGGATGATAGCAGATCCATCTGCGGATCGTGTTGCTGTGTAACTAGTCGAACTTCCAGTCATGTGGCAGTTGCCGTCGGCCAAGTACGCTATGATTTCCGACAGCCCCGCCACAGCGCATGAGTATCCAGAAGTGTACTTCTCTACGATCACATATGGGCTCGATCCGAATGCCGTAGCCATGTCGCTTTGATACGAGGACACGGAGCTACACTTGGTACCCGTGTACGGAGCCGCACTGCCAGTGCAAGCACTGGTTGTCGTGCAGGTAGTGTCCACATTGGCAACTGCCGTTGAAATTAGTGAAGGAACTCCAGACGAGCAAGTTGTCGTCGTCGTATCATAGTTCATCGTAGATGTCAGGTACAGCGGAGTCGTGCCAGCGCCATACACCTTCGTATCCGAAACGCATGCATGAGAACTGCCGTCAGCAGCGCTCACAGTCAGTAACGTCCCCGCTGAAGTACACGACGCATCCGAGTACAGTTGGACGGTGGCCGAACCGTCCGCCTTCCTCGTCGCACGGTAACTCTTCGCAGTATCCGTCTTGTGGCATTTGCCGTCCGCAAAGTACGTCGTAATACCGGTCAGTTTATCGGCCGCGCAAGACTGCCCCGCCGAGTACGCTTCCACGATCAAATAGGGATTCGAGCCGAACGCAGAAGCCATATCATCCTTGTACGTCAGCGTAGAACTGCAAGAAGTTCCCGTGTACGGTGCAGCTTGGTTAGTGCAGTCCGTTGTGGCTGAGCACACGTCGACAGCGACCACAGCCGAATTCACCAACGACGGAAGGCCAGACTTGCACGAGTTCGTTTTCGTATCGTAGTTCACCGTAGAACTCAAATAGAGTGGTGTCGTGCCGGAACCATAGACCTTGGCGTCCGAGGTACACGCGTTGGAAGTGCCGTCAGCAGCGCTCACCGTCAATAAAGTAACTCCAGCAGTACACACTGCATCCGTGTATGTTTTGATGGATGCTGAGTTGTCCGCATTCCGTGTTACGCGGTAGCTTGCGGTCGAACTCGTCTTGTGGCATTTGCCGTCTGCAAAGTACGTCGTAATACCGGTCAGTTTATCGGCCGCGCAAGACTGCCCCGTCGTGTACGCTTCCACAATCAAATAGGGATTCGAGCCGAACGCAGAAGCCATATCTTCCTTGTACGACAGCGTAGAACTGCACGACGTTCCAGTGTAAGGAGCAGCTTGACCCGTGCAAGTCGTCGATGTAACGCAAGTACTTCCGTCTGCCGTCACTGTCACAACTTGCGTTGGTAATCCCGACTGACAGTTGTTCGAGTTCGTGTCGAAATACAAAGTCGACGAATATACCTTTGGAGTCTTGCCGCTGCCGAACACTTTCGTGTCAGCGATTCCATTGCCATCCGCAGCGCACGAGTTTGCGGTCTGTGCGGCAGTCACAGTCAAACGCGTTCCAGCCGTACCGCACGTGGCGTCGTTGTACGACTGGATGACAGCAGATCCATCTGCGGATCGCGTTGCTGCGTAACTAGTCGAACTTCCAGTCTTGTGGCAGTTGCCGTCGGCCAGGTACGTTGTGATACCAGTCAATTGTGCCGCTGCGCACTTCATTCCAGAGGTGTACTTCTTTACAATCATATATGGACTCGAGCCGAATGCAGCAGCCATATCAGCTTTGTATGAGGACACAGTACTGCAACTGGTTCCTGTATAAGGAGCGGCACCTCCAGTGCAAGCAGTCGACGCAGTGCAAGTGTCGGTATTTCCAGTAGTAGTCGTCACTAATGACGGGACCCCAGACGAACAAGTGTTCGTATTCGTATCATAGCTCACCGTCGAAGTTAAGTACAATGGTGTACTGCCGCCACCATACACCTTCGTGTCAGAGAAACACGTGTGGTCAGTTCCCTGAGAAGCACTCACCGCCGTCGGCGTCTCCCCAGTGCCACAGACCGCATCCGAGTACGTTTTGATGGACGCCGAATTGTCTGCACTCCGAGTCGCACGGTAGCTCTTCGCCGAGTCCGTTTTGTGGCATTTTCCGTCCGCCAGGTACGTCGTGATACTGGCCAGCTCCGCTGCAGCGCAAGATTTTCCAGAATTATATTTCTCCACGATCACGTACGGATTCGAGCCAAATGCAGCGGCCATATCATCCTTGTACGTCAAAGTAGAACTACACGATGTCCCCGTGTAAGGAACGGCTTGTCCAATACAATCGCTGGACGGTACGCATACAGCAAAGGCCCCAACTGAGGTCGTCACATACGACGGTAGCCCTGACTTGCATGAGTTCGTATTCGCCTCATAGCTCACCGTGGAAGTCAAATGCAACGGCGTTGTACCGGCACCATACACCTTCGTATCAGTGGTGCAGGCGTTGGTAGTTCCCTGAGAAGCACTCACAGCCGTCACCGTCTCTCCTGTGCCACAAAGCGCGTCTGCGTACGTCTTGATGGTCGCCGAATTGTCCGCTTTTCGAGTCGCGCGGTAACTTGCCGTCGAACTCGTCTTGTGGCACTTGCCATCAGCCAAGTACGTCGTGATGCTAGACAGCTTATCGGCCGCGCAAGACTGTCCGGCCGTGTACTTCTCCACGATCACGTACGGATTCGATCCGAATGCGGCAGCCATATCGTCTTTATACGTCAGCGAAGAGCTACACGATGTTCCCGTGTACGGTGCGCTTTGTCCAGTACAAACACTGGACGGCACGCATACCGCAAAGGTTCCGACCGCTGTCGCCACGTACGACGGTAGCCCAGACTTGCATGAGTTCGCATTCGATTCATAGCTCACTGTAGAAGTCAAATACAACGGAGTCGTGCCTGCGCCATAGACCTTCGTGTCGGAAGCACAGGCATTGGATGTGCCATCCGCTGCGCTCACTGTCAACAGTGTACCCGTCGTGCCACACACACCATCCGTGTACGGTTGGACTGTCACCGAATTGTCTGCTCTTCTCGTCGCGCGGTAGCTAGCGGCCGACCCCGTCTTATGGCACTTGCCGTCCGCAAGATACGTAGTGATACCCAACAGCTTATCGTCCGCGCAGGACTGACCGGCGGTGTACTTCTCCACGATCACGTAAGGGTTCGAGCCGAACGCAGCAGCCATATCGTCCTTATACGTCAACGTCGAAATGCACGACGTTCCCGTGTAAGGAGCTGCTTGGCCAGTGCAAACCGTCGTCACCAAACACGCATCTACCGCAACGACGCTTGATGTCACCAACGACGGTAAGCCAGACTTGCACGAATTCTCGTTGGTATCATAGTTCACCTTAGAGCTCAAGTAGAGTGGAGTCGAGCCAGCGCCATACACCTTGGTGTCAGCGGTACAGGCATTGGTACTTCCTTGGGAAGCGGTCACCACCGTCGTTGTCTCTCCTGCGCCACAGACCGCATCCGAGTAGGTTTTGATGGACGCCGAATTGTCAGCACTCCGAGTCGCGCGGTAGCTCTTCGATGTGTCCGTCTTGTGGCATTTACCGTCCGCCAGGTACGTAGTGATACCCAACAGCTTATCAGCTGCGCAAGACTGTGACGCCGTGTACTTCTCCACGATCACGTACGGGTTTGCACCGAATGCAGTCGCAATATCGTGTTTGTACGTAAGGGTAGAGCTGCATGACGTTCCCGTGTAAGGAGCCGCTTGGCCGGTGCAAGTCGATGACGCCAAGCATGCGTCCACCCCGACCACAGTAGTTGTAACAAACGACGGCAGACCGGACTTGCATGAGTTTGTAGTGGTGTCGAACATCACCGCGGAAGCGAGGTATTGAGGAGTCGCAGAGCCTCCATAGTATACTTTCGTATCAACAATTCCGTTTGAGTCAGATGCACATGAGTTGGCTGTTTGGGATGCTGTCACCGTTGTCACCGCCTCTCCCGAGCCACAGACACCATCCGTGTATGTTTTGATGGACGCCGAATTATCTGCACTCCGAGTCACGCGGTAGCTCTTTGATGAGGCCGT